TGGAACCGGGCTGAGCAGCGCACGCGTGGTCGGGTTCTTTAAAACCCAGGCTGAAACCTTCCAGAGAAGGTGATCGAAGGAATGTGGGGCCCAAATGGGCCAATGACCCCGCTTTTGTCGAACAAGTGCATCGCCATGAGTAACGGCATCGCTACTAACAAAGACTCCAAGGCACGTTACTTTGGAAGGTGTGACGGGTTCTATTCGTGACTATTCAGGTGTGGCTACTAATTCTTGTTTCTAATGGCTTCTTGTTACTAGTAGTACGGCCAGGAGCCCCTAGTAGCGTCCTTGCTCCTAGTAGCGATGCCAGGAGCCCCTAGTAAAGACGGCTCCTCATCCTTCATCTAGATCTTGATTAACTAAGACTGGGGGGCCTTAACCGCCTTAACCTCCAGGGTCACAAAGTGCAGTTGTTGACTCTCAGGTGTCCAGGTATGAGTCGTCAATGCAAATGCAATCCGTGTGACAGTGGTGTACCCACTAGCTACAACACTTTCTAGCACGGAGTCGTTGCAGGTGACAGGTTGCTGATGTGGCAATCATGGAACCCTTATGTATCCTTAGGGCCTGTGAGCAAATGTTGTGTTTTGCATCGATAAAGGACATGTTGGAGCAGGGTCTATCCAAGTCTATCCACTCCTCACGCAGGATTCATTCTGGTGCGGGAATCCTGTACGTTCCCCTACTTGGTGGTTTTGGAGATATGTTTCCATCACGCTCCTGTTGTCCTGCCAGGACGCGTGGGCCAGGAACGCGTGTCGGCAAACTGCCTTCGGTGAGAAGACTCAGTCTGCACGAAGAAGAGGCTTTTCAAGCTCTAAATCGCAGACATGGAAAGGGGCACTTGGAGGTTTGTGATGGAGAGACTTTGACCAATGTGGCGTTTTGCTTGACACTTTCTGATATCTTTGGTGGGCCCGCCAAATCCAATGAGTCTATCCAAGGTGTGGCTGGAAAGTGGTCATGGACGCCCATTGATGTGGCCATGTGCATGTGTGACATCAAGGGCTGCTTTTTCAACCCCTTAACACGCAAGATGAAGGGAGGAGCTCACCCATTCACGAAACTCTCGGGTGAACGGAACGCAGGTTCATTGAGACGAGGCCTTCTTGATCGCTCATCAAGTCATGTGGAGAGTGGAGAGGTCTGTTGTGCTGAAAGAAGATCCAAGAAATTAGTATCCATTAGTCCAATTGAGTTCAGGTGACAAAGTTCTCGTTTCAGCCTTTCTTTTGCCAAGAGTTGGACAGGTGACACGTCATAAGAGTAAGCAATGGTTTTGACAGAACAACTGCAGCAAGTGCCCCTTTTGCTGGTTGACCAGTTTACGGTCAGCCAGTGTTGCTCGCTTTTTTGAAAGAACCATTTGTGGTTTTGTAGTGAGTCAAAAAAAGCACGCAAGATGCACCTTTTATGACTTGTTTGCGTTTTTTTTCAACTCTGGGAAACAGATTGAGAATCTTGAGTAGGTTAGGGAGCGACTTGGTGGCTTGACCCGGAAACCGATGGACGTGGTGAACATGAAATCAGCTCTGTCTTGAGAATTCAGGTCTGTAGGGGTCGAGCCACCAGCCTTCGACTTGGATCCAGCGAACTCGCGGCGAGCTCGCCCGCTCCAGTCACCCGAACCCGACTTTTAGCATAGTTTCTGGGTGAGGTGGAGAGCCGAAAGCATAAGCTTTTGTGGATAGACAACTCACTTCCTTTTAGTGTTGCAATCAGCACTTCTTTTTGGAAGGATGTTTCTGTCCTCACCATTGGGAACTACTACTTCTCCGATTCTATTCAGGCCCTATTTCCTGGTCTTCCCATTCTTTGGAGACTTTGGAGTTCAATTGAACATGTACAGTCATATGCATTGATGTGCTAGAAGCAGTTATATATGTATATATATATATATAACCTGGAGAACATCAATGAACATGCTGGGCCACAGCAGGGCAAGGTGGCTGGATGTCATCGACCTGCGTTTGGTGCGTTCAGCCAAGTTTCTTACAATTCGGAATCGCAGTACGACGCCAAGGAATACAATTCTATGGAATCCTTTTCGTTTGAGCCCTACCATTTGATCAATTTGTGCATGGACGCTATTACGTGGAGGCTATCGCAAGTAGGTTGGAGGCCATCGCTACTAGTAACAAGAAGCTACTAGCTACTAGTAGCAAGGAATTGTCTAAGATGTTCCGTAGCTGGATCAGAACTTTGAAGAACTACTGTAAAGTCTATTTCATGAGCGATGGCGATGAGCTCCTTTTCAGTTCCAGGGGGCATTCTGAATCAATCCCCCTGGAACCTCTCCAAACGCTCTGTTGATATGAATACGTTTTACTGCTGCTCCCATCTCATCCACTGAACGTCGGATTCGCTGTGTTTTTTTCTGGCTCGATGAAGGGTGCCAGTGTGAATTGGGGCCAGACAGACAGGAGCCTTATTTGTTTGGAGTGAGTTGATTTTATGTACGTACTCTGGCCGATTTCCAAAGGCTTTCCCCAAACAAGATGTGTTCTGGCTGTGTTACTGCCTGTTCATTTGGCACCACTCGGACAACTTGAGTTGTTTTGGAATCAGGAAGTTTTGAGACACCTAACCGTTTTGGACATGGATCCCCAAACCGTGGTTCCTCCACCACCATGTTCACCCCGCCCCTTGGTGCCCTGAGCCCCACCGAGCTTGCACCATCAACGGGGAAACGGCCAAGTCCCCGAAACGCGGAAAGAGATGGGGTTGTCGATCCATGGTGACGGCTGGAGAGGTTTTTGGTTGGGACTTGGTCAGCGGATGCCGATGGACGCACGAGGTGGAGGTGGACGCAATATATTGCAGGTGAAACGCTGGACCTTGGGATGACTTGGGACCTTTCCGAAAGGGACGAACGGATTAAGATCCATACTTGCCCTAGCGGCCCCAGCTTTGAAGGCTTTAGGGCACCTATAGAAGCCCACCTCTACAGTTCTGAACATGTCATTGCATGAGTTCCACCTGTGCAGTGGTAGGAAGGGACCAGAGACTCCCAGCCAGACTTCACCACCCGAGACTTCCAGCCATTTTCACCTATGTTGGTCACACAGAGTTCTGGCTGAAACCGCACGCCAAAGATGAAACAGCCCATGGCAGCCCAGCTTTCCAACACCACCTGGGGTGCTGCTGTAAGATCTCCTGCTTGTGGCATACGCTTTGCAGTGCAACTTGCAGATCTTCTAATAATGGGGATGGGGCGGGTAGCTTTTCCCTCAACAGTCGAACAGCACGACTTTGCCGAGTCCAAACCTTGGGATCAAAGCTGGAATATAGACCCTGGACCGTACTGACTTCGTCTTGCAAGTGTCACCAGAGTTCCCCACTCCGAAGGGATCGTGCTCAACTCTTGTGAGCCTTTGATTGGTGCATGGTGTTGCAGACACGACTGGCCTGATCCATGACACTGTGACAGACATGTCAACCCCCTGCAGCTTTGACTGCGCAACCTTGTCGTAGGGTGGGCGGGGACCAGGTGCGGGGGACTCAATTCTTTTCAAACGGACGTGCCCAAAGTAGCTATATAATTCCACTGACAGCGGACCCAAGATGAGTTTTTGTTTGCTTGGTTTGCGGTGAGTCCCGCTATCTTGTCCCCGGACACACCCCACAACAAGTTCATTGGCCTGCAAGACAGTGCGTTGTGGCCCCTTTGTAAGTCAATTTGAGTCGAATTGGAGTGCAAAAGCTTTCTGAGAATTCATCTTGGCTTGAAACACTTGTTATTAAGTACCGTCCACCACGTTTGGTGTGTCAAAAAGGCTGCAACGGACGCTGAACACCAGCTGCATGCTCAGACATGTGCGTTGGTGAAATTCAATCCTGCCATGCCCGGAACGTTAACATGGCCTCACAAGAAGAGAAAGGTGACCTCTGCGAACACCCAATCAGCAGTATTGTGGGTTTCTGCCTTCATAGGTCTAACATGTTCGATGATTTTATGCTTGCGGATCGGTGGATGTTCACCGAAGCCAGTCACCGCAAGGAAGGAATGAAAAAGACAGGTGTCAAGTATATTGGCTTAAGTTTCCCTAAAAATCTTGGAACCAAATCATTAGTGCAAGTGCTTCTTCAAGGAAGCTCCCCCCAGCCACCTGCGTCCGTGGTAGTAGCATACTCTAGTAGCTAGTAGCTACCTAGCTTCTACTATCTACCTAGTCTCTATGGCCTATCCACCCCCAGGGCAACAAAGAAACTATATAATTTGACCAAACCGTCCGGGCATGGCCCGATCGCCCCGTCGGGCGGAGAGACGAAACCGTGAGAGAAAGACGAAACCTGTGGGGCGATCCGAAGCGCGTCCGGACATTTGCGGACGAGATTGGGCGCCGGACCGATCCCAGAGATTGCATGTGGTGAAGCGATGGGTCATGGATTTGGTTCTTGGAATGTCCGGTGACAGCAAGTCACCACCTTGGGATCTTGCGCCACCCGCAGCTGGGCCTCGCTCCATAAAAGGCAGGTTTCTCCGATCCGGGAGATCTCAAACGATCAGGCGAAAGACTACGTGGCAGAATTCCGTCTCGTCAAAATGCCAGAGGCGACGTTCACGGACATTTCTACGCCGTCACAGATGGATCTCCCAGAGAAAAAGATCGATCGTGCACGCGTTCTTATTTTGAGTTTGCTCACTGAACTCTTGCAAGGTGCTGATGGAGTCTTGTTTAATGTTGACCCAAGACATGGAAGACTTCCGAAGACATGGAGATGCTGGTTTAGAGATTTTGTTTTGGATTGAGTAGATGAATTGATCTCGGCATTTGTTTCTGAGTCTGTCAGAGCCGCTCTTGGATACCAACCAGGCTTCTTTTAGGGCCTAAAGGACCAGTTGATAGCAGTTGTGCGGGAACGGGCACCCCTGGTTGGTGCCCAAAGACCAGTTTGAGAACGAGTTTTGTTTTTTTCCATGTTGACAGGTGCCACCACCAAATTTACTGTAGGCCACGAAGACCTTGCACAACGGCACAGTTTACATGTTCCAGGAACGGGAGAAGGGCCGCCTTCAGAAACTGGTGAAGGACTTTGCCAAGGAGGCCAGCACTCACAGCTGGTTTGCGGGGCTGTGGACCTTCTTCTCCTTGGAGTTCTCTTGAGGGTCCCTTGTTTTCAAGTTTCCAGGATATCTCCAGTCGTCCAGTAGTCCCACCAATTTACGGATCAATGCCGAACCTCGCGCCTCAAGACTTGGACTTAGAACCCCTTACAAAACCAGGCCAAGGATTGGCGCTGCGTAGCCTATTTGCGGACGAAGCCCGGCAAGACCACTGGCTTGCAAAGAAATATCGTCTTGAGGGGGTTGGTATTTGGTAGGGACACAGAAATAAACAGGTGTAAGTAAGATTTATATACATCATGACGCAGACGGGATGATGTGTACTTTTGATCGATGTCGGCTCAGGCCAGGTCCCCAAGCCTCAGAGGTTCCAATGTCGAGGGATGTGGGTATCGCTTGACTTCTTAAGAGTTCTTAAGACAGCCTATAGCTTCGGATGACTTGCGTTCAGCGAGGTTCAGGGATTGCAGTTCTCGATGAAAGTGAACTCCCTCATGGTGTTTTGACGTTCACAGACAGAGCGCATCACAGACGTCGAGGTCGATTTACGGCTCGAGTTCAGCAGACAAATCTTAGTCGCCATGTCGGACAGCACGGCGGCTGGCGTTGCCAAGGCCCGGCATTTGGAGAGTTTGGCACTGGAGAGCGCGCGCATCGTGGATGACCCGCGACTTGGTGGTGATTTGCCCAAGAGAGATAGAGAGAGCCGGCCTTGTCAACCTTCCAAAAGCGGAGTATGTATGGCTTTAAGATGCTTTAAGTTGTTGTGCTTTGCGCAAGGAAGGCGAAGCGTTGGCAAGTTCCGAGTGGAGAAGCTAAGACTCGAACACTAACTCAGACTCGAAAGGTCTTTTCGCGGTGGCTAAGACCAGAAGGTCCGCGGTCCCAACCCCGGCCATCCTTTTGACCTGTGGGTTTGGAGTCCGACAGCGTCTTCTTGCGACAAGGAGTAAGGCTTGACTAAGGCACATGGGATGCACATGTACTAGGAGCAAGAAGCTACTAGGTGCTCCTGACATGGCAGGTTCCACCGTTCATACACGTTGATTCATAGTTCATAGGTTTTGATCGGTTCACATGCGTTTCCGCGGAATCTTTTAATCTGTTTCCGTGTTTCTGTGTGCGATGCGGTCAAGACCTGCCTCAAATCGCCGATGAACATGATTTTGCACTTTCCATTGTGTGAGTGTGATGTTTTTGGGGGCTCATCTTGGATGTCAGGTATGCCCAGTACTTCTACACTGGAGCTACACTGGTGAGCCTTATGGGACACCGGGCTGGCGTTTGGCTCTTTGACTGGATGATGCCAGGCACCTGGTCTGCAGAAACTGCTGGTTTTGGGGTTGACCCCTACGGTGAAGCTGTTGGACAATTTTCGGACGTTGACTGCATCCACTGATCGATGCCTTGCTGCTCAAAAGCAGACATTGCACTATGCTGATGACCTCTTGCAAGTCGAGGTTGGCGGCAAGAATAAGCCCTTTGAAGACCCTGGCATGCCAGGATATCTCATCATTTGCAAGTGCTGGCCCTTTTAACCCTTGTTTTCCCTTCGGCCAGTTCCGAGAGGTTGCCGACTTCAGCTTTTGCTTGGATTTGGGTTCTCTGGGGTCGGAGGGCCCATGACCACCGACCAAGGGATCTACGATATGCTGATTGCGCGGACCAAGACCATCGACGAGCTGCTGCGCGCTGAAGCGCCGTCGGTGCAACAGGCGGAAACCAAAGGATACGTCAGAGAGTGCGGCGTGCGGGCAAGGAGTCACATTCCCATTGCAAGTTTCAGGCACCACCTGTAGGTAACACAAATAAAATCAGCCTCTTCATGAATCATATGAATCACATGAATCTTCCATCGTTTTGTGGATTCATGATCCTTTCACGTCGCGTGAGAACACGGCAAAAACCGATTCTGAGGTGGTGATCCTGGGAGCCGGCTACGACATGCGTGGCTTTCGCTTGCACCACGAAGGTTTGCAGATCTTCGAGGTGGATCAGCCGGCCGTGCAGGCAGGTCCTGGGAGGTCTGTGAGCATACTTCGTCGGAAACGCGCCTTGCATTCTTTTTCTTTTCAAATGGGCGGACTTCCTGCTCGAGATTGATGAAGCTCTGGCTCTGATCATTGCTCCGTCACACACAGAGTCAGAGAGCAGTTCCAGTTCCAGGTGTCTGCCAAAGTCAGTTTCACAATCATGGAATGTGTCCTTGCAACTGCCACAGAGACCCATCTCTTCACACTAGCCTCACCTCCTATTTCATCACCAACGGCCACTTGCATACGACCTAGGCGAGGAAGAAGGCCAAAGCCTCTTGGCACTTTGTTTGGGCTACCGGCGCTGTTAGCAATCCCATGGCAGGATTGCTATGTTTGATTGTTCGGAAGGCACCACGAAGGTTTTTTCTTTCTTTGCCATCAGGTTGTTGATGCCGGCGGGTGGGGGGTCGGGGCAACAAGAGCTTCTTCACAGCAGGATTGTTGAATGATTTGCTGCAGGTTTGCAGCTGTATGTTGGGTGACAGTCCACGTGCATGTACCAAGTGAAATCACTCCAAATGTGTCGATCAGGTGCTTCCTCGAGTGAAACCCCGAGGAAACAACTGCAAGGAAGTTCAAATGTAAGACCCTGGAACATCCACTATTACTGTGTAGGCTATGCACATCCTGATACACCTTCCTCAGTGGAACCCGTGAGCTGACGAGATTACGGTCTGCTCGAGATGGCAAACCACAAGCATCAGCACTGTGCTCAACCACAGCAAACCAACCAAGGTGTGTAAAACAGATCGCGCAGATCGCGGAGTTTTACTGGCCGCCGGCCCCAAATAGGGTATCTTTACATGCAAAAGGAATTCCATTCTCTTCGGGGCATTGACACGGCAGGTCCACCAATCAGAGACTATGGCTCAGGGACAGGCCACAAATCCATTCCTTCATCTCACGCACCCTTCTGTCCGCGACGAAGGTTCCAAAAGCTCCAAAAGCTTCATAACATCGACGGTTTCAGCCGAGGTCGCCCAAATCCCAAACCTGCCATCTGCCTCTGTGCACTACGTGCCTGTGGACTTCTCCTGCCAGTCCTTTTGAGGGAAGACGTGGTGTGGCGGTGTGAAGTGGACGGGGGGGTTCCTGACTCCCTTTATTCTGGCGAGTTTGGCGGAAGTTCAGGTTGCAGATAAAACCACCGAACCCAGCAATAGTCAACTTTGGTTTCTGCTCTGGATTCTGGCAATCATGAAGCCAAATGATTGGCCCGTCTCTCCGAAAGCAAGCAACATCATGGTGAAATGGTAAACTGGTAAACTACAGTATAGATGATATGTACATAATAAGAGGAATCCTCCAGGGTGCGAATTGAGTTGGTCTTGGGGTTCCTGAGCTATTCTTTCCATTCCGCTCATTTTGATCTTCTCCCAATGAGTCCTGGTGGGGTTTGAACCGGGGGACTGCCATGGAGACCCTTCCAATTGCCCTCGTTTGACGAAGGCGGGCGAACCGGCAGATTTTCTCAGGTTGGTGGATGAAGAGCTCCGAAAGGCCTCGATGGAAAAACGGAGTGTTTTTCCTTCGGTGTGGTTTTGATGTGTGTTCTCATGTCTCTGTCTTCTCGGACTGAGAGAGCTTCAGCTCTGGCAAATCAGACAAATCCTTGAAGTAGAGGTTGACTTGCATCAAATCAGTGAGAAGTTGGAAACGAGCAAGTCGTTGGAGTTGTTTGCGAAGCTGTTTAGCTGTTGAGCTGCATCACTGACACAGTTTCCTCATGACCAGCTCATGACCTCATGAGACGCACCTGATTTGCAACCTTTGACTCTTTGTGTTTTTTTGATCCCTCCTTTACTCAATCAAGTAGGCGCCTACCTAATTAAGGGAGAAGTAAGCTCCTGGCAATAGGAAGCCACTACATATGTATGCAGGATAGCTCACGCCTTTTCAAGGAAGATCTCCCGCTGAGGGTGGGGGGAGCTTCCTTGAAGAAGCGCTCCCACTAATGATGTGGTTCCTAGACTTTTAGGGACACTTGAGTTGAATTGCTACACACCACTAGAAAGACGGTTTTCCTCTACCAACAAGGAGTTGTCCGCTTCCATATATTTTTTTTGAGGTTGCCTATATACATATAATTATATATATATAAGTTGGGTCTGTCCTATTACCTGTAACACAATCATTATATATATACTATTTTTCAACAAGGCCTTTACCAACCATCATCATCCACGGTTACAGGTAATAGGATAATAGACCCAACATAAAAATTATATAAGCAGTTGTTGGCTTTCTGCCAAATTGGTCCTATCCAGATCCCTGATGCTCACATCCCAAGTAGAGTAAAAAGCAAGACATGGGAGATTAGTAATCGCCTGGCGGGACGCGCGGCGACGCCCGCCGGAGTTGAGTTCGCGTGCGAAGGTGCCGAGCTTCGACCCAAAGGCCGCCAGCCTCATCATCTTCGAGGGGGTCACGCAGTACATCCCAAGTGACTCGGCTGAGGGCTGGGTGCGCAAAAGCACCAGCACGAATTGTTGGAAGATCAGGTCTGGCATAGGGGTGGAGTCGGGTGAAGTGAGACTGATTGTTAGAAACTGTACTTTGGGCTGCTCGCTTCTGTTAAAGGTAAAAGCGCAGTTTCTTTTGGAGAAACAGACCCTCCAAAGAACATCCAATAACCAAAGAACCACCAACACCCCTCAAACGCTCCTGCTTAAATCTTACTGTAAGTCTCCGGAGCAGGTCCCGTTTTGGTCACCTTCCCCAGTTACAACCCTTGGGACAGCACCTCTCAAGTCGGAAGCTCCGGCCTTTTTTCCGCGTGTTGTCGGCCTCCCGTTGTCGAGTCCAGTCCGCATGTTCCAGGAGAAGCGGTTGCGAGCACCATCAAGGCGATGGATCCTTTGGCACACGGCGAAGTGACGCGAAATGACGCGACCGTGGTGAAGTGGTCACAGGTCACGACAGATCATCCATAAGGATCCCATTG